GCGGACAAAGTCCGGCGATAAGGCGTCCGTTTCGGCTCCACTATCGAATAGCGCATAGGCTTTTATGCCTGCTATTTTTATGTGAGCCGTTAGCGTTCTCTTTGTTGAGAGCGGTCTGTTTACGGGGTATTTTCCCGCGTCTTTTGAGATGCGGAATTTCGCATCGAATAAAGGGGACTGGGTTTCGATGGACTTTTGGTCCTTCTTCCCTTTGTCCTTGTTTTCCTTGGGTACTTTGGTGTATTTCCCCAAGGCGTCTTTTCTTGGTGCTTCCACCAAGGCTTCGGCGACTTTTTCGTCTGCCGTGTTTTCTAACTGGTGTGCTACAGCCAGTTTGATTTTATAATTTATGTCATCGTGGTCGACGACTGACATTGGGCCCATTCTTATGGTCCCAACGTTGACTTCCTCACCCTCTGAGTCAGGTGAGTATTGAGGTCCTTCGTATGGGTCCTCCACTTCGAAGCTTGATGCTTCGGAGTTACCAGAGTTGTTCTCTGGTTTCTCATCTGATGAGCTTTTTGACTCTTCATCTGTTGAGTTCGCGATTTCCATGGCAGCTATACGCCTTGGTTTTTCATCGCTCGTTATATTGTGTCTTGGGCAATCTTTCGTTTGCCCTATTTTGCCGCATTTGCCGCAAATTGGAACTGACTTTTGGTCAGTTTTCCTCGAGTTTTTCGAGGATGTATCCTCTTTCCATCTGGGTTTCAGCTCTTCCGCTTTCTTTCCTGACGGGAGGGCTTTGCCGCGGCTCGTTGTTGCTGTGGTGGTTGTTCGGGTATAGTACCCTGATTTGTAGGCTGAAGACATCTTCAGCCCGTCAATTATCTCGTCTACACGAGATATTGCTTTTAACATCTCCTCGTTTGAGGAGAAGTCTGCTCTGATTCTATCATGAGCAATCATTTCCCTCTTCCATTCGAGGGGAATGTAGTTTAAGAACCTGGCGTTAAAGGACGCCTGGTCTGGCGGCGTCACCATTTGGGACGCTGCTTTTGACAGTTCTAAGTAGAACTGTTTTAGGCCTTTTTCCGCTTCGTATTTGACGTTGCGGTATTTCTTTGTCGCGTTCAACGCGGCGGAGGCTTTGATGAAGGTTCTCATCAATATGTTGAGAACCTCGAGGAACATGCCCTCGTCTCCTCTGAGGAGAGTTTCGTCTCGGAGTCTAATTCCGAGGTCAAATGCGGGTCCCCCTAATCCACGAATCAAGCAGTCCAGGTGGACTTCGTCGAATTGGGGACCTTTGCATCCTCGCGAGGCGAGGAATCCCAGTAGTTCTGTGAACCACTGCCAGAACGATTCCATGTCGTTCTCCCCTGACCATTTCTTGTCAGGGAATGCCGGCCCATTCTTTAGGGCTTCTGGCTTCACTCCTTCTGGGTAGGGAGTGAGTATTCTCACTTCGGCCATTCTTATGGCCTTTTCGTACCATTTCTCCAGGTACTCTTCTTGCTCCCCTGCCTTCGCGGGGTCGCTGTCCAATGGAGATCTCTCCTTTGGGGGGGTTTTTGCTGGGGGGAATCTTTCTCGCAGCATTTCTTTGGTTTCAGGCGAATTCGCCTGAAGTTGTATTTGTATTCTCTCATTGTTTTGAGAGGGTATGAATGCGTTACCTCTCTGTTCGAGAGGTCCGTCATAATTGGATGTTTGGCCGAACCTTTGGTACGTGCCAATTCTCCTTCTGATCTCTGAACGATGTCTTCTCTCGGCATCGTCTTCTCCTATCCTTGGGAGAAGGATCTCCTTAGCGTCTCTGTCGAGTCGCTGGTGATATTCCAGTGTGCTTTCACTGGTGGTTCTTTTCGTGAATTTTTCACGAGTTCTATTTATGTCCTGGACCGTGGTCCAGGGGTGTTTATTTGTTTCCTCACTTTTTTGTGAGGAGTTTATTTCCTTCAGCAAATCTGTTTGTTCGCTGATTTTTTCTGTCAACGCGTCGATTGCGTTGGCCATTCTTTCTAGAGTTATCTCTAGACGAGCCGTGCTATTATGGTTCGTTTCCTCGATCTTTTTCTGGATCGAGTTTATCGCGTTTATTATGCGCGATTCCTGGTTTTCCAGGAGGAAGTTTGGTTGGGCGAGCAGTGACTCTCCCCAGTTGACATTTCCGCTTCTGGGAGTTCCAGAATGGGTTCTTGGAGTGAACACTCCACGCTTGCTTTGTTTTGGCGAGGCCGTTGCGGAGGGTGCTTCCCTTTCATAGAGGGGTCTGTTCGCTGGTTTCTCCTTATTTTTACGTAAGGCTTCCTCAGCGAACTCCCTCATTTCAGTTCGCCTCCTCCTCATTATCTCGGAGACCTCCTCCGAAGTTGGCGACCTTGCCTTCTCTGGCATGGTGCGTGGGGGTGTAAACAGCAGAGGCTCTTTTGGAGCTTCCGCGCTCTGAGAGATCCTGCTCTCAGGGCGTATTTTCGCGCCTTCTCGGGCTTTCAGCCTGAGAAGAAGTTGATCTTCACTTTCCGTCCTCCATTCGGACGGAACCTGGAACAAGTCCAGTAGTTTTTCGGATAGCTGACGCGGGGTTTCTTCCCTTTGTTTCCCTTTGTCTGCCTTTAGGGCTTGACTTGGGGACGTGATTGGGAACTCTAGGGGATAGTGGGGCCCTGGGGTTTCCTGCGGCTCTATCCGATCAGCTTTTTGGGCTGATCGTTCGGCGCTTACGCGTTTTTCGCGCAAGTCGATTACCTCGTGAGGAGATAAGGGATCTTCCCCAGCTTGGGTTAGATCGGTTTGTTGTGGAGTTCTGGGGGTATTTTGCCCCGCACTTACTCCACGTAAGTTTCTAAAGTCTTCAGGGACCAGCCCTGAAGTGGTTGCTGTTTCCGGATCGCGTTGATCCTCGTCGTCATCTGACGACGGCTTTTGGTTTGAATCTCCCATGATGGGAGATTGCGGTTTCTTAATAAACCGCTCGCTTCTTTTTAACGTCGCTGCAGATGCGACCTTGCCCTTGCGGGCGTGTTTAGGCGCCATAAGCGCTTCCGAATCAGATGTTGAGATTTTATAGTTGTGGGTTGTGTTGTAAAACACACCTCATGCACTTAAAAAAGTGTGAGGTCTTTGGGGTTGCTCAGCACACAAAGCCGTAAGTGATACAAGATGATGTATTTTACGGTGGTGTGTAAGCGGTTACCCGGAGGTTCCCGCTTGTCCACGTGACTATATCTATCTAGTTTACATGTGACTCGGGGTTCGGGGCTATTGCCCTGACAAATACGTACTGGGCTACCAATGTTCTTCAATGGCAAATTAGAATTCATTATTCCCGAGGAGTATCAACCAGTTGTTTTTTCTGGTGGCGAAGGTCTAGGCGCTTGGTATGGCGATCAAGTGCCGTCTGATCCTACCTTTATGTACAGCCCTCGGTCCAGCAAAGATGGGACTCGAATCCTTCTCCAAGGCCGGCAGACAGCTCCAATTGTTGTTGATCTTAGCCAAGTCGTTTAGGGTGTTCGTGGTCAATTACAATATCTTCCCATTCACCTTGCGCGTTCTATCCACTGTCAGAGGGGGAATCGTGAAGTTTCGTTAGGTCGCCGTCCATTCTTCCGGACTTCCCTCGGACGAGGTTCCCTTTCCCTAGAGTGCAGTGGGTCTAAATAAATAAAGTCGGAGACTTCAACAGATCTACGATCATCCCTCTCTTGCACTGTCGTTTAGTCCCGGGTCGGACAGAATGAATGCTCAGCGTTGTAAGCAGAGACTTCTAGTTTGTTGATTCGCTTTCACTCCGCATCAGAATGACGGTGTCTGTCAATTTGACGCAACCTGCACCACTCCGAAACAAATTTTCTGTTCTCACTTCTTTGAACCTGCTACAAAAAACAATATTTCTTTTGCCGGTTCCACCGTTTCACGAGCGTCTAGTGCTATAAGATAAGGGGACAAAAGTGATAGTCTTTTCATCCCGGGCAACGAGCTTTGTATCGTTAATGGCTTTTCCAGAGCTGGCAGCTTGTTTTGAGGGTGTGTGTATCACTGAAGGCAAAGGATCGATCACAGGCAGCTCTGGTGATCTTGTATGTTATTCTTCTCACCTCTCCTTCTATCAAAGTTCACTGTGGGAAGTCCCCCCATCAGATTGTACTGGGTTGTACCATCACCTAATCGAAAATGCCGGGAGTCCCTATCAGCTTTTTGGAAATGCTCAGTCGTGTGTAGTACCGGGGCTACCTAGCATCTGGATTCTGAGTTACATATTGATACCAAAAGACAATTTCGCACATTAACTTAGAGGATTCCAATCCCTCATTCTCATCATCGCTGAGTTCCATGTCCTCCCTTTTCAAGTCCGTCCAGGTGTGGGAAGTTCCCCGTCAGATTGTACTGGGTTTTACCATCACATTAAAATACTTATCATTTTCTTCGAAATGCTGCTCAGTCGAGTGGAGTACCAGGGCTACCGTAGGCATGTGATTGTTGGGAGCAAGGAGACCATTGGGAAGAGTGGAAGCGCGGGGCGCTAATGTCGGTTTTGGGTTCCTTTCCTCATCCTTGTCGGTTCGGGAGTTGCCATTTACTTTTGGAACTTCGTCTCACCTGTCATCTCTCTTATCTCTGTGTTCCTCCCACACTCATCCAATCAATGCTGGATATCCGTAATATGCGCAGCCATGTTTTTCTTGGCTGGCCCTCTGTTTTCTGCATCCTAATACGTGCTTCAATGCTTACTATTGCCAATCCAGGTTGAGCGATCTTGCGCAATCAGCTCATCCGATCTTGGCGATCAAGCCTGCATTCGGTGGGAGCCATATCTGTGTCTGCTATTTCGTCTCTTCAATTCCTGAGTCCGACACTGTGGGCCTATGCTCTGTTGCACCGTGCACGCTTCCATTCCAATAGTCAGGCTTGTACAATTGGACGCGTTCCCACGCGTTTTGACGTGTTCTTCACTCATTGATGCCAAGATTTTGGGCCAACCGACATGGAAGGACGCAGACCAGATGTGTTATCATGGCATTGCCCAATGCGCTGTTGCAGAGCCTGCACTGGTGCCTAACCACAAAGTGTGCCTACTACTACGCTCTTAACTTTCCTCCCCTTCCCATTTCCTTGCTAACTTTCTACTCCAGGAAACAATCAAACTTCCCAAAAGTGACCGGAATTGGAAGACAATAGCTTCCTCCGCAGCTAAAAGGCGAACTCCCATTGGTGAGGTACAAAGAGTGCTGGAACCCCGCGGGTCGGGTTTCACGGATGAGCAAACTATGTGTTCCCCACCGTTCACCCCACCATTCACCTCATCATTTACTTTGCGACCTACCTGCCATATTTACCCCACTGATTATTGTCATCCTATCTTCGAAACCGACATGCTCTTGGGACCTACGCCGGCCCCACAGACCCCGAGGGGTTATCCCTGCAAAGGTGTGTTCAAGCGCGAGGTTTAGCGCGAGGTTTTCTCTGCACCCTCAGTATAGCCTTGGGGTATTATTTTCTCCGACACTCGCGATGACAAGCGCCAGTGTATGCGTGTATTGCTATATACCAAATGAATATATTATGATTTACTATTAAAACAGGCGGGGTTACCTATCAATAACTTCCAGGGCACCCTGTCAGTATTTCCGGGGTACCCCGTCAGGATGGCCCCGTCAGACTGCGCATATCTGATAGGAGGTCCCGGCACTCGAAATCTGATGGTTGGCCCCGTCAAATGGTAATGGGGCTACCTAGCAGGGCTGGTACCGGGGCAACCCTACACCATCTGCCGGGGTTACTTCCCACTGTGAGTTGCTATCCAGACCCCTGGGACACTAACAAGATACTCATGAAGGGCAGGACGCCATTCCTGCTGCATTACGAAGCGAACTGCTACGTACGACACCTGGAGGGTGGGACACATCACAAAGTTGCGCGGAGCCCCCGCCCAATCGTGGCGGAGACTTTGATGAATGTTACGAATGCTAATAATATTACGAAGTCAGAGGCTGGAGTCCTGCCTACTTCAAAGACCATGTGCGTCATAGATTTGCTCTTCCAATTCAATCATTTTGCAGGCGATTGTTCCTACTTTCCCGTTCAAATCGGTTTCAACCCAACCGGCGTGCTGAGGCAGTTTATCCATATTCGCTGACCAACTTCTCACATCTGCAATCACACAACGTCTTGGTCAGTAACGGTACTCCTTGCGGAAGTCACCCATGTCAGGTGGAGTTCAAGTACCTTGCGCGTCTTACTGGACGAAAGGGGTATTTCTTTAGACCAGATAATGACACCAACCTTCTGCGCAGACGAAAGATGGGCCCGGAACGTTCCTCAGGAAACGCGAAGGGGCGCCACGTACTATCACGTAATGATGAAGTCATAACAGGGTATTCTTTTTCATGTGAAGGGGTAGTTCCTATGACTCTGGTGCGCACCAATGGTGCGCCGGACATATCTGGGATGCCGTCTTAGGAGATGAATGGAAATAGAAGAATGCGTTCCAGGGGCGACAATGCTCATGGCTCGGTTCGACTCTATAATTCCTGCAGATTTTCGTGCATTCCCATATGTCAGTGAGACATATTCCCAACTTGCCATCGGAACAGTCAATCTTCCTTACTAATCAACTATCGAACCTTCGTCGATCGCTGTTTCCTTTCAATCCATCTTCACCGCCTTTTTACGAACTATACGGCCATCGCTCTGATCCTGTCCGGGTCGTGCCATTTCCGGCGATCGTTCTGGGCACACAATTTCCGTTGTTTACTCAACAGTCATGGAAGCAAAGTTGCCAAGATAGATGGGGTGCTGAGGTGACCAATTACGATGCCCAATTCAATAATTCCGAGTTCGCAATGGTGTTGTGACACTTCTCCCCCGATGGTCGTTATGCATGTGGCCCTCGGTTTGGTAACGGTATCACTGAGCTCACCAACATCTACCATCAGCGCACTATTTCTCGATTCTAGTTCGATCCACCCAACTACCCTGAATTTGCCCATGTCAGCTACCGAGGATAACGAGGGAAACGCGCCATGGCAGGCCCGCTGGCCCCCTCCTTACTGGAACTTTAGCGTCGGATAAAAATATTTGTCGTGCAAGTATTGACAAGCCTTGGTACGACAACATTACGCTTGCAATGGCTTCAGACGTTCGGCTCCTCACTTCTCCCCCTGACCCTTCCATTCCACCCTTCCGCTCAAAATCTTTGTTAGCCATCCTTCATCCCCGCACGGTTGGGTTCTCTCCCAGTCTACAGAGTCGGTATTGCGGATTCCAGTTCTTGGATTATGAATCCCATCTTATATTTCCGATCCCGTATCCACCCGACTCACTCCTCCCCTGGCTGCGACAGACATGCATTATTCCGAAGTGGACGGAGGACCCAGATGGGTCCTAGATCCGAGCATGCGTTGCCGGAACGATCCCGCTATTGTGCATCGGAACCGTGACCGAGGAGCTACCAATTGTAGAACAGAATTTTCTGGCCGCCCATGGTGATCTTAGGGTGTATGGCATCAACCGTCTGAGAGCTTGGTATGGTGATCGAGCGCCGTTTGATGCTACGACTCCCTACCGCCTCAGGATGGGACTCCAAGGCTATATGATGACTCCAATTGTTTTCGACATTAGCCAAGTCGCCTAAGATGTCCGCGGTCGTTGTCGCCCTTAGCCATGGTATGGTCCCCGTGAGTCTTGGTACTCTCCCAAATGCGCCCCTTTCCTGCTGGAACACTGATGTCAGGGGCCTTGTTACGACAACATACCGACGACCTGCACGTTCAGCCCCTCCCCTCTCCTTCAGACCCTTCCACTCCATCCTTCCACCGAATTCTTGACTGGCTATTCGTCGTCGTCGCGCGCTTGGGTTTCTTCCCGGAGTATGGCGTTTTGGCGCTTTCGATGGAGCCAGCGCTTTCACTTAGTCGACGGAGTCGGGCGAGCTCATTGCGCGTTACGGCGTTACGAATGTCAGTTCTTTGGGTTATGACCACAGTCCCCATCGCTTGCTCATATCTCATCCCTGGCCCTGTATCCCTCGACTCAATCTTCCCTGGTAATACAGCAAACATGCACCTCTCTGATCCGGATGCACGACTCAGATGCATCCCATTTTGTGGCCTCCCACCAAGCACGCACGAATGACGGCTCCAATTGTCGTCGAAGGTAACAAGTTGTTTAGGGTCATATATTGTCCTCCGATTTGTACATCGCTGTGCTTGACGTTAATGATAATGAGTTACTAGTAGTAAAGGGGGAACAACATCTTCCAGCTCTCAAGTCAAACGGCGAAGCACCACCACCCCGAATAAAGATCTGGATGCAATAGCATAGCTCCCATAGGGTTCTAGGGCCGGTAGGATGATGGGTTGTGAACATCCCGCGACCCGATTAATCCTATAGAGGAACTTTGGGTCCACTCCGGCCGTCCACGGCCATAGGATTTGGAAAGCACCGCATCCCGTCTGATCTGCGAAGTCAAGCTAAGTGCCGGTCAGTTAGTACCGTGATAGGGGACTACTTGGGAATCCTGACTGCTGTGGTTCTCCTCTTTCCTTTTCCTTTTCCTTTCTTTCTTCCAGTCGCCAGGAATCGGCGAACGCCCCCTTGAAGTCCCATTTTCTTCTTCGCTCAAACACACGTACCACACCAGCTCGCATGACACGGCTTTGTTACTATTAATGTACAAAATAGAGAGGAAAGGTTGCAATAACGAGTACCCCGAGATGACAACAACACATCTGGCTCGTGATTAGGATCGAAAGCGAATCAGGGGGAAGGCGGTAGGTAATCTCAACGTCTAACGATGAAGGTGAAAGTTCCCCATTCCTATACGCCCAACAACAAAAGCAGCAGTCAGAGGACCAAATTGTTTCCTAGCACTCTCGCGCTGAAGCTCAGTGCCACATCTAGATTGCCCCGCAACAAGCTCGACTAAGGCCACAAAGATGAGCAGTCCAGCGCCCGTGGCGCGAGTAATTCCTTGTAATATATCGGATCTCGCCTGCGATGATGTCAGTGTTGACTTGAGTGTTTTCAAAACTGGGAAAGATGAAATGGGCGATGGTGTTGGAGGGCGAAGGTGAGGGATGGAAGAGATGATGATAATTGTAGGCAGGATTGGGACGACGAAGAATAAGGCTAGAATTCACGGTAACAAAAGTTGGGCTCGAGTTTGGGGAATGGGTGATGGTGAGTCAATGATGCTGAGCTGGATCGGCAACAACCCGTTGATAAATCAACGGCATGAATCTCCCCTCCCAGCCACCGTTCTCCATCAAAAAGTCGAAGAGTTTTCCGTAGGCACATGGCTTGTGGATTTCGCTGCATCCAGGATAACGCGCCGCCGCACTCAGAGAAACGGAGAAAGAGTGAATGAGATGCCAATTTTGGCACCCACCGCAACCTCAAGTGTGAAACCCAGTACGATGGAATGCATCACCTCATTAGAAACAAATGCTTCTGTGAGATTGGTGACGGTTTCATCGTTCTGGGGATTAAGGGTGCTACTGACGCGAAGAACACGGTCCAGAATGACCTCGGAGGTCTGCACACTTACGGTTTCCTGAGCGTAATGGGCTGGCCGTACGTTAGCATTATCGAGTTTCATTTGCCCTCCTCGAAGCTCAAAATCGACTATGCTCGGAGCGGGCCGGGGAAAACCCAGAGTCAACAGTAACTAGTATCAGGGGTACTCTCTTTCAAACCTAGAGTGGGGGATTTAACAGGAATGAGAGAAGACGAATCACGCGTTACCGAACACTGCGAAGCAATCACTGTTGAAATTTTGTCCGGATTTGTGTCATGATCATCGTGCGAAGACATCCAGCACATAGCACAACATCCCAGACGAAGAAGATGACATTGCGACAGATTGTGGCAGGCCACAGAGCACTGAAATAACCGAGGTGGTGTACGTTGCTAGGGGGTGACAGGGGGCCGGACGAGGCTGGTGTTCGTGTGTGATGATGATGATGATAAATCTATCTTAATACCCCGCGGCCTCGTGATGACGTGGCAGTGCGGCTGTCCCATCGGTACACCGTGGCGTACATGAGGGACTTTCTATACATAGTGTGTGGGTAGTCTGGGTGGTATCGTCGGGTGATAGTGATCCTCGGGGTTTGTGGTATCTGTGGGTGTTGTCGTGTTGTTGATAATAGAGATAAAAAGAAAATAAAGAAAGAAAAATTTTTGACGCTCTCATCCCCTCGTCCGTCTGTTCACCCTGCCCACCTCAGTACCTCGATCGCCTCTTCCCTTCATCCATCTCCATTCTCCAGCTGTGTCGTGTTTCCTTACTGAGTCCGTTGCGCTTCCTGGTCTAACCTGCGTCCCTTATCTCGGGAGTCGCAATGCTTTCCCTGGGTCGATTGTCGGATCTGGGCTTGTCGCCTGTTCTGGACTTTTTGATGAAGGACGAGAGTCTCTCTACGCCTTTCACTCTGCCTACGAGGGTTCTGAACCTGGTCTGGTTGCCGCGTCCTAGTAGGTGCCTGTGTCTGCTCGTTCGGGGGCATTCCGCAAGGATGTGGGTCCTCGTTTGTCTGGGTTTGCCACACTGGCAATCACTACTCTCCGTTGTGATGCCGAATCGGCGATAGTATTCGCCTATATGGGCGTGTCCTGTTCGGAATTGGAGGACTCGGCTGAAGGTTTTTCTGTCGAGGTTGCGGAATCGTTTGGTGGGCTTGAGTTTTGGTGCGAACTGGTTCGCTTCGTAGAAACCTGACCTCGGGGGGTTTGGGGCGTTCACCCATCGGTGCGTCCATTCTTCGTTCATCTCTCTCTTGCGTAGGCTTTCCACGTAAGATAGGGATTTGAATTTTGGCCACCTTCCTTGGCTAGTTGGTCCACTCTCTTGTTGCCTGGTATCCCGAAGTGGCCTGGGCACCAGTGCAGCGCGATTTTGACGTCTTCAAATTCGGTTAGTATTTTGCATACTGTTTTCCTGAATTCTCTCGCCGTCTCCTGTGCTTTGTGTGGTTTGCCTTGGAATACGCGTTTCAGTGCCCCTGTGTTATCTGCGTATATGACAATGTGTGTGGGTTTTTTGGTGACGTTACCGTCATCCATTGCTCGTCTGATATTGTCTGCAGCCATCTTTAGGCCCATCATTTCCGCGTTGTAGGCCTCCACATATTCTCCCATGGCACCTTTTTCCTCGAATATGACTTTTCCGCAGGTATATCCTACTGTGCCGTAGCCGGTTTTGATCCTTCCATCTTCTTTGTATCGGGAGCCATCCAAGTATATGAAGAGGAGGTCTGGGTCATCTTCGCATTCAGTGGTGAATGCCGAGTGGTCATCGGCCCATTCCTGTTTTACTGAGTCGCTGGGTTTATTGGGTGGGGTAAAGAGTTGTATGCGTTTGGAGATGTCATGTTTGGAGATGGCCCATGGGCTTTCAAGGAGGGGGTTGATCCTTTCTGTCCCTGAGATGAT